AGTCATTTCCGGTTGGAATTATTCGCGTCAAGATGAGACGCGATAGGTCGAACCCAGAAGTTCGATTTCCAGCCGTCGAACTTGCCGGTAAGTGTAGCCAAGGCCTCAGACAGCAAAAGGTGCCAGGTGACATCAGCTACTTGGCATCTGCTCTGGGCAGGGGAGCCCTCTCTGCACCCTCCAGGACCATCTCTGCAGGCTCTGGCTAATGAGCTCTGTTCCTGATCTCTTCTCAGTGATACACCCAGCCATACTAGTGGTCTGGCTGCATCCCAAGACCTGGGGGCTCCCCGGCAGCACTGAGCATTGTGCACCAACAGCAGCAGAACCTGTAGGATGTTCTGGAACTGCCCCATCAGCTGAAGCTCTTTGCTGCCTGTCATGGGGTCTGGGGCCCCAACATGAGCTCCAGGGCACTATGGGAATACAGATGCTCATAGTAGTGGGCAACAGGGCCATTATACTGAATGGCCATGACTCAAGAGGAGGGGATGCTGCAAACCCCAGCCCAGGAGGAATGAGCCAGAACCTTATGGAAAGTGAAGATTTCTACAGCCTCGCCTGTGACTCATCTTCTTGTCTCTCCTGGGATAATACCACGGATCTGGGTGCCACCAAGGATAACATGCAGGCCAAGACATTCATGTCCACAGACTGACACCATCTGTTGTGCCAAAGGTCTTCACGGGGGGCTGTGCTTTTTCCATCTGCTGGATAAGCAGACCCCTGGCCCACAGCAAAGACCTGCAAGAAATTTAATCTTTTGTCTTTTTGAGCTAATTGTTGCACTTTTTGTTGTGTTGTTTACAATCAAACACATTCAGCTCCTGTGCCAGGGTCCCAGCTCCTCCTCTGCTCTCACCCCTCAACCTCACTTTCTTTTCCAGAGGCAAGAAAATAAATGTGAACGGTTTCCATTTCCATGGGGCAGACATGGATTGCCTGAACAGAGAAAGCACCAGTGTCTGTCCTATTTCCTTGTCCTGCCTCTGGATTAAGGCCAGTGGGTTCAGATTGCAGCAGCTCTGTTTGAAGGGCAGCATGGGGAAGGCTGTTCCAACTCCTCAGGTTTGCACTGACATGTGATTCCTTGGCTGTGCCTGTTCTACACCAAGATGGGCTCAGTAGCAGTGACAGTGTTCCCCATTGTGTACCTGGCTGACAGCTGGCAGGAACTGCATGGTACTCTCACTGTGGGTAACTAGTCCCCAGGAGTGCTCAGTATCTACACAGCCTGAGCAGCTTTGTTTCTTTAACATTTACTCCATCAGCCCATCATAAGTTGTGCTTTAGTCATACTGAGCAACCCTGGGCCTCGCTAATGTGGATGGGAGACCTTTAAGGAAGCAATAGCCATGAGCCAGTCAGGGGTCTCTTCCCTTTGCCTCAGCACTCAACCAGTGTTCTGGAGGTGCTGTCTTTACCAGGTGAGACCTCAGGTCCCAGGCAGTCAATAAAGAGCAGGTGTGGCAGCCACTGGCCACATGCCAGGTGGGATAATTACATTCTGTTTCCTGCAGTAAGAGTTATGGAAGTTTGGCCTCATGTCCTTCCCCAGACTGTTGGGGAAGTTTACTGTGTGCTGTCATGCAGTAGGTGTGTTTCACCTCAGAGTTGGCTGCATTTCAGGGGTGGGAGCTGCAATCCAAGAGGTAGGAACATAGTTGCATCAATGCTGGAATTCAACTGCCACAACTGGGGAAGGAAAGGGCCCCACTTTTAACAGTTTGTTCGGCCATCAGAAAAGGCCTTGGCCTGCAGACAGTGTCATGGGGAAGAGGGTGGAGCTTCCTTCTTGCTGCAGGCTGTACCCCACCACCCCATTGGTGGCTCAAGTCTCCATCATAGCAGGCAATTCCTGTTGATGTGAGAAAGGGGGCAGGTAACATGATGATGGTACCCATCGCTCCTCTTGGCATATTAACCCATCCCTTCTGCTGCAGAGACTGACAAGTCTGGACTCCCGTGTGGGGAACGACAGCCTGAGGATGGGGTGAGGCCAGGAGGAGAAGAGAAAATAGAAGCTAGAGTCACTAAGGAAACTATAAGGGACTGGATGGCTTCGGAGTGGAGGCTGCTGGTTTGGATCCAGGTGTTACCATCTGAGAGCTGGCATGGGCCTCTCTACAATGAATTCCATGATCAGCAGGCAGGTGGCTACATTTATTTAATAAAGCAAGTCCTGCTAGGTCAGAGTCCAGCTAGACCTCAGTCTGTTCCAGCAGCAGCTCCTTCTGCTAGCACCTCTATCTAAGGTCACTGTAGCTGATGCAACCCAGAGGAGGGACAGGGCTGGGTAGCTGAAGGGAACTCAAATGATGTATTGCTGCTCAATCAAGTGATTTCTATTTGCCTGTAAACTACAGTGTAACCTTGTTTAAGGTACTGTCCAGAAGACCAAACATCGGTTGCTTAGTAAAGATGGATCTTAAAAGAGCAAATAAATTGCACTGGATAGCTCAGGGGATATTTTAAGTGGTGTCTCCAGGCCAGGGCTGACTGGAAGTGGTAGGACTTGTTTTAGGTTTATATGCAATGTCTGTGCTGCACTTTGGCCGTATGTTGCCACTACAACCCCTGGGCCCGAAAGATGGCCACTCCTAGCAGAGTACGCACCAGGCAGAGAACATGAAAAAGTGGTAGTAACTAGACCAACTGTAAGAGGCCAATCAATTGAGATGAGCTATCATCAGCAGGAGAGTCGAGAGACTGCTGAACTTGAATTAATATGCAAATTAGATACAATTAACTTAGATTTAAACAGAGACTGGGAATGATTGGGTCATTACACTAATTGAATCTGTTTCCCCATGTTAAGTATCCTCACACCTTCTATCTGTCACCTCGATTATCACTTCAAAAGTTTTTTCTCTCCTGCTGATGATAGCTCATCTCAATTGATTGGCCTCTTACAGCTGGTCTGGCTACTCCCACTTTTTCATGTTCTCTGTATGTATAAATATCTTCTTACTGGGTGTTCCATTCTATGCATCTGATGAAGTGGGCTGTAGTCCACGAAAGCTTATGCTGAAATAAATTGGTTAGTCTCTAAGGTGCCACAAGTACTCCTGTTCCTCTCAATAATGAATCAGAGGTGATGGGGCAAAGAGCAGGTGAGACCAGATGCTTCATGTAGTCAGCTAGAGAGACAAGGAGTAACCCCACTTCCTCAGCCAAAAGGGGCCCATTTCATTCCTTTTCACTAACCACAGTACTTAGGGAATTGGTGGTGGAGAAGAACTACGCTGCTGTGGGCATGCACTGCTACTCTCAAGAGGAATGGGAGAAGATGAAGCTACTTCTCCCTTGCTGGGGGCACTTTTCAGAGAGCCCCACAAAGAGATCAGCTTTTCCACACTCCATGGCTATCTCCCTCACTCTGTTTAATGCACTGGTTAGTGCATACAAACAAAACACAGGGAAGCGTGCAACTGAGAACGAGCAACCCTGTATCACCCATCCGCTCTCACAAGTACACACGCTGCTGCATGCAAGGTTCTTATATTGCTGATCGAAGTGTAGGGAGAGAAGAGAGACAACAGCTGGCCTGATGTCTCCCCCTGTAATGGGACTGCTTCCTGGGTACACAGCTGTGGCTGGTAACAGATGCTGCAGGCCCCTCCCCCACACAGCTCCAGCACAACCAAAGTGCACAGACACTGAGGTCACAACAGGTTTCTTAGAAACAGGCACCTGCAAAACTTGACTGGGAAGATTTGAGAAAGTGAATGTTCTCTACAGTGGGTGGCTAGAGCAAGAACCTTAAAGTGAAACAAACTAGCAACAAAGCTGTAACCGACACCTCTGTATGCACCTCCCGGCAGAGACTTGCAGACAGCTTAAGCTGGAGAAGTCCATGTGATTTGAAAGTGTTTGTGGTTTAATACTCTGAAGTATCACAGAAGCAGAAGGGGATCTAGGGCAGTGGGCAGTTCAAGCTTGATTTTGCATGAAGAGAAACTCCCTCCTCTCCCGCCGCTTAAAATTCACCCACAGCAGATGCCTAACGGGGCATGGGCTTCCACGTTCTGCAGAAATCCAATCTCTGTGCTGGGAGAACCAATGTGCCATATTTAAATGACTGAAGCAGCTGGCTCTTTGCCAAAAGCAAGATCATTCAGGCTCCATGGCTGGGGAAAGTCTCCTACACAACTGATCTTGAGGGTGATGCCAACCGATGGGTTTTATGGCACAGTGCATCTGAAGGGAGGAGGGGGGGTATTTACAAACATGTATAAAAAGAGAGTAAAGCCCATGATGAAGGGGAGGTAGAGCAGATGGCTCACACCAGAATTTCTCCCCAGAGGCAGGGGGTAGAGATTATATAAAGCAAATCATACAAGGTGAGGTTACTGCATCACTCCAGGAGCTCAGATCAACTCTGACTTTGGCCAACTCCCAGCACAGGGGATGCACCAGCACCATGGGGAAGCCGACACCAACCAGTAACTCCAGCCACCATCGTAATTAATGCAACAGTTGATTTTTTTTTTTAATATAAAAATGCAGGGACAGCCCAGTCTGTGATATTCCCCATCCTGAGTCACTGGCAGCTCAGAGCTACTCTGCCATCCACAACTTGAAGGTCCTGTCATATGAGCATGTTGCTATTAGCTCCCCATCTGAGGAGATATCCAATCCCATTACTTTTCCCTCGTGGCCAGCCAGCGTTTTCAGAGGGGACCAGCCTGGGTGAGTCCAGATCTTGGCTGTGTTATCGTAAGCACCGGTGAGCAGGAAGTTACCATGCGTAGCTGCAGTGAAGGAGAGGGGAAGAGGTGAGGTTCGCATGTAGAAACAGCAGACAACAATAGATTGCCAACACCAGATTGCAGATTCTGGAGAGGAGTCTGCTGAGTTCTGGGATTTCTGGCTATTACCAGCACAGATTGTTCTACAGTTTTGTTGCACATACAGCTATTCCAGCCACATCAGCCCAGGGAATTAGGAGAAAGTGTTGCTAAGCAAACCAAAGTGTGGGAAGGGAAATACTTACGTTCAAACTTCACTCCCGTCACCAGGTTCTGGTGGGCAGGTATGGTGTAGACACACTTCCTCTGGCGGAGGTCCCACACTTTGCATGTGTTGTCCCCGCTCCCAGTTGCTATGTGATATCTGCCATGAGGAGAAGGAAGAGCACACTGGTCTCAGCTGGAGTTCATGCTCTCAGAACCCCTAGCTGCACCATTCCAGCTCCCTCCTTACCCATTTGGGGAGAAGTTAATCCCATAGATTTCCTTCAGGTGGCCCTCCAGGAACATGATACAGCGCCCAGTACGTAGATCCCACACCCGACCAAAGGCATCCATGCCACTGGGGAAAGAAAACTCAGCACTGACACTTCTTAAACACACAAGAGCTCAAACAAACACACCAGCCCAGCAAAGGGCATCTGATCCTGAGCGACAACCTTGCTAAGGTTCAATGTAAATCTTACCCAGTCCCAGCAAGAGAGCCATCAATGTGGAAGGCGATGTCATAGACCCCCTTGCTGTGCCCCTCCTGATGGAGAATCTCCTCTTGAGCTTGCAGGTCCCAGAGGCGCCAGGAGTGATCATAGCTGGAAAAACAAAGCCATGTGTCCAACTCAATGTATTTTTCAGAATTCTAACCTTGGCTCAGACTAGAAGGTATGTGGGTGCTCAGACACCGTTAGAAACACGAACGGATAATAACTGCTTCATCAGCACATCACTGCTGGTCAACCCAGAACTTCATCTGCTGCACAGCATGGGATGACTAGGAACAAGCCTTGTCGCCCTGATGACACTGAGAAGACGTTAGTGTTCTGCAGTGTCCTTGCAATGTGCTGGGGAAAAGGACGCTTCTCCAGTGCCACATGACAATCGCAGCCAGTTGGCCAGCCACCAAAGGGAGCACAGATCCTGCCAATAAAATGAACATTTCACCCACTGAGTGCCCTGCATGGTATAAACGCAATAGCACATGCATGCCTGTGGTAGTGCTGCTGGGATAAGTCAGCCCTGTGGTCAGCTGTTTGGCTGCATGTGTATTCTTTCTGTGTGCTGTACTGATTCTGGCCAGAAAGCCCGTACAGGAGGTTCAAATCAAACTGCCCAATAAATCCACAGACTTGGTTCATAGTGAAGGCACTTGGTCAGGTTTATTGTCAACGAAACACAGTCCCAGTGCCCTGGCTCAATGGTTATAAGTACACTAACACATGGATGACTGTTGCAATGGACTAGCTCAGTTAATGGCGGGACTTTCCATTATCCCCAGGCCAGCCAAACACACTCACTCAGAGATATCTTTTATACATCAATACAAACATCCTGTTACACACTGCCCCTCTGACATAGTCAGTTACCACCCATCACCTTGCACATCTCTATGCATCACACTGTCATACTGACCTTATCTTTAGGATGGGTCAGTGTGTTCCTGTTATCTTTAGGGAATATGTTGGTATCAAGGTGTTCTGGTACCACCCTTCTGGAATATGTTCGTGGGAGTGCTCTGTTCCTAGCCTCACACTCTTAGGAGTGTGTTTTTTTGCAACATCAGCCCTGTTCTTGCCAGATTCTGTGAGCAAGGCCTGCCCCTAGTTCACAGCCCGATTTTGCTTTATATCAGCAAAGTTTTGACTGCTAATTTAGCCCAGGCCTCAGGCTTCATACCAGGCCTCTGACATAAAAGACTTATGTTTCAGGCCCTCTTCCTACTACAAGCCTCAAAGAGCAGAGCAAAGATGTGTATTCACTCGCCACACATGGAGAATTGCATTTGCCCCACACTGTCAGATGCTCTCCTACAGCTCACTATGCCCAGCTTTCACTCCGCAGGCATGTTTCCTAGCAGGGGGCTGAAAGATGCAAGTGACGGCAACTGAGTGAGAATTTGTTTCTCCAGGTAAGTCAGTCAGTCATAGTGACAAGCTGCCAGTTTGCATCATTTTGGTTCCAAAGGGAACTGACTGGCAGATTTCCGAACAGCATGTGAGCTTTGGCACCCAATACTCTGGGAAGATTGGCAGATATTTACTTAAGGGGCGGTTGAGAGAGAGGCATTATTTTTAATACCTGTGCAAAGTTGGAGGGGAGGGGAGGGTGAGTCCCCATTTAAACAAAGAGTCAAGTGATGGTTTAAAGACCCAGGAAAAGTACATTATAACCTGCCATTTACAGATGCAAGACACAGCAGGGAATAGAGTCTGGAGATCCCCTGGAACTGGAATGGAGGGAAGAGAAGCAAAGAGTGGGGTCACTGACTCATAAGGGTTATTACTGTTCTCCGTGGGACCATTTCAAAGAGATTCTACTAAGCAGCAGGGTCTGTGGCTCCTTCTGGAGCCAGCATTTCAGATATATTCAGGCTATGTGTACGGCTGGGTTTCAGGATAGATCAGACCCTCTGCCCTCAGGGTATCTGGGTCTTAACAATGACTCAATAGGATCTGCTCCACTCTTTGCCCAAGCCCATTCGCAGGAGAACCTCCA